TTGCGGCCTTGCGATGTAATAATTTCTGATATAAGTATTAAGTAAACTAAAGGCCTGGTTTGTTTATATGATTTGGTCCTGATGATCGGACGGCCCATTAACCAACGGCTCATTATGTTTCACGCATAATGAAGCATAGTGGAAGATCAATCAAGGTATGGAGATGAATTTCCTTTAATGGTGTTGGCCCACTCTATAGAATAAATGGAATTTTAAATAAGGAGAAATACGTCGTCATATTTGAAAATGTCATGCTACCTTCGGCTGAGAAAAATTTGTCTTTTGTATGGAAAATTCAACAGGATAACTATCCAAATCACACCGCAAAGTTGACGCAAAATTTTTTATGACGAAAATTCCATTAATGTTTTAGAATAGCCTTCCTCTAGTCCAGACTTGAGCCCTCTGGGGTAACATTTAAAGAGTCGTTAGTGCTAGAAAAAACCTAAAAATGGATGTCCTTTTTGTGGAAGTAAGAACGGCATGGCAAGCAACATCAGTGGCGCGCTGCCGAAATCTTATAACATCAAAGCGACATCGCTGTGCGGCGGTGTTGAATCAGAAGGGTTATGCAAACAGATACTAACTAAAAGTAAACATATTATCTTAATATTCTTATTTTTTTCTGATAAAATATTCTCTTTTCAAATTAGGTGTCGCACTCAATTCATGAATTTCACAGGGTTTTGTTAAAAATATCTAAACATGAATTTTGAATAAATTGCTTAGACAGTGATTTTAAGTTTTTTATATGTTTAGATAAAACTAGAAAACAAATTATGAAAAAGCGTGCTTGAATGGGCAAAAAGATCATTCAGTTTAAAATAAGCATCTTCTCTAATTAGCTGCCAATAGCTGTATATACGCCAGCTAATGGTCACTCCTACTAGTGTCTTTTACATCTTGCTATTTACTTAAATGCATTTTGGTGGCTATGCAAATAATGCTGTTTGTATCAATCACTTTGTCACTTACCTACATATTCACATATGTACATATCTATATATGCACTTCAGTGCCATTTTCACCTTTTTACATTGTCTCCATAATATTTTTGTTATTCTTGCCACTGTCAACGCTGCTGTTTGTTAGCTTTCCTCCGAGGCACAATATATGTATATGGTATGTATGTGTGTTGAAATTTGTTATCAGCTTGTTTACCACAAATTGGAAATTTATCGATGGGAAATGATTCTTATTCCATATCATCATCGTTTTTGTTTATTCATTTAACACATTCGTAAGCAATAATACCAATAATACCAATAATAATCATAATCATCACCATATACTTTGACTAATAATTATTATAATGCCAACAATGTGCCACAATCATGACAAAATTGATTGTAATTATGACGAGATTTTCTAATCCAAACACTTCGCCGCATAGTTACACAAATGCATTTGTACATACACGTCCGAAGGATTGAAGTCAATTGGGATTTTTATTTATCATTAAAGCAGATTTTATCATGAGAGAAAATTTCATTGATAAACAGGTGTAGTTTTTTAATAATACACTTTGCGACGTATGGGATTAGCATAAATAGTATTTATAGTGAATAGTGAATTTATTCCGACAACATCTTTTATTTAAAAATTTGTTAGTTCCACTAGCGATGGATGATAACTTAAGCCGAATGAATTGTTGGTATAACCTCTTTTTATTCATTTGTATAAGTGGTGGTAAAAAAAAGACAATTTTTTTTAATATTTACATATTCTAAAACGAATACAGTTTTCAAAACCTTCAAAAATTTATTTAAGCCTTCCAAAAAAAAAAAAAAAAAAAAAAATATGGCTATATCATCGGTGCTATTTTTTTGCCCCTCTGGTCCCTTTTCAATTTCGGAAACAGCTATTGATCACTAGGGGGCAACTCTGGTCCGTAGGGTGGGTGATTCAAAATATAGCCGAATACTTTCACCTTCTCCTGTTTGTTATTAATTTTCTCACTCTTGAATTGTGGCATAAACAACAGACGAAGGAGTTTCCATTACTAATCCTTTTGTTGTTTTAGTTGAGAATTTCCGGTAAACAACTGATTTTTTTATAAATGTTGCTGAAAACTAAGCAAGTAAAATCAAGCAAATATTTATACAATTTAGGCTTCAGGGTATCACACGATATATAATACATTTGCATATGAGAAATATCACTACTATATTTTAGGAAAAAAAACTTCACTCAAGAATATTTGAAAAATATTCCAGTTAATTTTTTAACAAAATATTACTGATTAAAGCTTTTACAAACGAGTTGATAACACTGGCCAGTTGGATATCACAAGAAATTATTGAACGCTGGGCTAATACCAGCTTGTATTCCATCCGGCCTGAGATTCATAGCGTGAGACCGAAGTATCCTCTAGCACTTACCTATAGCTTTTACAAATGATCACTATCTGTTTGATATGCCTGAGAGCGAGAGATTCCGCTACTCTTTCTTGAACGTGGCCCAAATCACTTTGTGAAAAAACTATTTTTTGACCTTAGTCGTTTAAAAATCGTACAGAATTTTTGGAGGCAAACAAGAAATTGTTTTTGAGCACTATCTAATGTATGGAGCACTACTTTTAGTGTTTCGTTATTTATTTTTGAAAAAAAAAAATAAAATGTTAATAATAGCCTGTTTCTGCCAGCGGCTATATTTTTGGGAAACAAATCAATGTTTAATTTGTAGTTTGAACTCCGTTGCCACATACTGTACCTGCTTCAGCTTAGATATTCGGTTCGACTTTAACCTTGTTTGAGATTCCTTTTGGAGATTATGCACTTGTGTCGACACATCTTCCAATCCCCGAAATACTGCTGAAACTCGATCTTTAAGATAGCCTTTATATCCTTCAGTGTTGCTCTTTTAATATCATCCCTCTGCAGCCCTCTAATGCTCTTTTCATTTTTGAAAATAGGAAAAAGTCTCTTGGATCCATCTCTGGCGCGTAACAGTATTATTTCAAGCTATAATTTGTGAGAAGGTGACGCAAAAGCCATGCAGTGTCCCAGGTGCTTCTCTTTATTGACAATTTGACTTGGTAGCAGAAGTTCATAGTGAATCATGCCATCGAAATATAATTAGCTTAACGTCCACGTTCGAAAGCTCTTGTCGAGCCTTGTTCAGCCTTGGCGAGCCAGAATACCTGCATTGCATAAATTGAGACTTAGCTTCGAAGTCATATAAGTAAACCTTTGTTTCATTACCTGTCCTAATAGGTTTCTGCAATTGACTTCATCATCAGTGACTGCGTTAATTGTTCGTTTATAACCTCTTCTTTAACCTTTTCCACGGTGGTTGATGTCCAGGGACTTCAAGGTCTTCACGTCTATTTTGGAAACGCTTTTACCACTTCCAAATTCTTACTTGAATTATACAAACTAAAATCATCGAGGTCAGAAAGTTATGTCTAGTATACGCGGCCGCAATTTATCATTCGGAAAACCAAGGTTCGATTTCTTACCCAGCCAACATCCAAAATTATAGAAAGCTAAGTGTGTGGATTCTGTTATTGAAAAAACATCGAGACGCACAAATTTGAAGATGAAATCCGAAAATCACTTCAGCGGTTACAATATATGGCGCTTAGTAAAAAATAATCCATAATTTTTGCATTAAATTGAAGACTTTATTTACCATATTCAGAATTATCCGAGTAATATCAAATACAGAAATAGAAACCATTGTCCCCATTGAAAATCGATTTTCATTCTCTTCTCTTGAGACCAATTTTTTACCAGTTAAATCATTCGTCATAGACGGTATAAATTGGTAATCACTTGGAGCGTGGTCCAAACTACAGGTTGAATGTAAAAGAACCTCCTAACCGAAATCTCGGTAGTATTGATGTGTACGGTCTGGTGTTATATTGATGAAACACAATTCCCCTTCTATTGACCAAAGTGAATGTTTCCTTCTTGGCTGGGAAACGTTTTGTGCCCTCTTACTGTCCTTAGCCCATCACCAATTTCATTTGACGTCGCTGTGAGTGATCCTCTTTTGAACACCAACCAGTTACTATCCGCTTCAGAAATGGTCGTTTTTTTCACAACTCAACAGAGATTTTCATATGGAAATTTGTTCCATGCAAATGCGACGATTTTTATTATCTGAAAAATCGGTCGTATATACATTAAGACCAGTAAATTTTCGAAAATTGTCATTTAAACTGCCTGCGCTGAATATTTTTCAGCACTTTTTTTTGTTAAGTTAGTAGCACTGTCTTTAATTATTATGCCCAAGTTGAGTGCAATCTGTCAACCAGTTTCTTTGCAGCTGTTGTTGATATCAGTCGACTTCAGTTCCCTCTGAGAATTTTCTTTTACGGCCTTAATCGAGTCGAAACGGCTCGCACGGAGTGATAACTTGAATTTTGGAACTTACAAATGTCGCATGGGACCAAATCCGGTGAATACGGTGGTTGATCGATGGTATTGAATGAGTTTTTGGTCTTAAATCGTTCCCAACTACAGCTCAGTGTGATGGCGCATTATCATCATGAAAGTTTCCGGAAATTGTTGGCCCACAATTTAAAAGTACATCTGGATATTAAGTTTGATTGATAGACGGACATGGCTTAATCAACTTAGTTCGTCACTCTGATCTGATCGATTAAGCTTTGATGGATCTATCTCCTCTCCTTCTGGTACTTACATACAATACTTCGGGTCAAATTGGAGTCCCTCAAGAAGCCAGCAAAATTTCAAAACTCTTGTTATTTTTTGTGCACCTCTAATTTCTTATTATTCCTTCACATTTATCTATGGTCTTGCAATTATTTTGTATTTAAAGTACGAAGTTTTGGAGAAGGTTAAACGAATTAATTGCAGTTCGTAGCTGGTTTCATGGTGGCACGATATTTTTAGTATTTATAGAAATTAATTCTATAAGAGAGAAGTGTTTTGAAAAGTTAGAGGTTTGGCTCATTAATTACGTGTTTTTTATATCCCTCAACTTGATTGTACATTGAAATTTCGAAATTTTAGTTTTTGATTTTATAGGGCTATGTATATTTATTAGTTAAATATATTACAAATTGTGAATTTTATTCATTTACAAATAGTGAAAGTTAATCTACAAAACACACTCAATACCACAGAGATGATCATAGGGCATAGCATGTACGAGTATGTTTAAGTATATAAATATTGTTGAAAAACTTAAACACGATTCATGTAAAAAATACAAAAAATTTGAACCACTTTAACTGGACGGATAGTTTATGTATAAGGCTATAAAAATAATTAAAACAACCACTGTTCTCTTTTTCTAATGGAAGCTGAATGTAGGTAAACGCCAGCAGCGTCGGATGTAAAATTGCGCTCGCGGGCAACGCTCTAAAAGAAACGCACCAGCAGGTAGGCCAATATGGCTAAAATGGGTGTGACAGCGGTGGCGACGGCGGAGTTGAGAGCGGCACACACTTTAGGCTGCGGTTGTGGAATGTACTTGCAGGCAATGCTCAGGAAGTTGGACATGGCGCGATCATTTTCCTTGACATCATATTGCTATGAAGATAATGAAAAAATATATATATATTATATATAAATAAATGTGTTTATAATAAAGTAAGAGCATAGAGAATTTAAATTAAAACTTATTTTTAACAAATTGTTATACAATTTACGATAAGTGCTTATTTAAGCATTTACGATATTTACCTGCTTGAATACAATAGTTGGCACGCTGGTTAATGGGTTTTGGAATTGATTAGTTGTTTCGCCGTGTTTTTTCAGCAAATGACTACCCTCGGTGGAGTTGGCGCATTGTTGAATATTCTCCCAGCCGCTTACCTGACTCTCACGTGCGCTAAAACATTAACAACAACAACAATCAATAGAGTGTTAAAAGGTAAAGCATGCATCACCATGCACTCCAACACAAATGTCATCTCCTCTCACTTACCAACGTGCACCTGGATATACATTGTCGTCGAAATTCTTGCCCGCCTTCATCATACAGTTGATGAAGTCCAATGTCAATGATTCTCTAGTGTTTTGAATTTGGTAGGAGTTGGCCTGTATATGCTCGATGGCACATGCATGCACTTTATTGCCATAGCATTCGTTGGGACCATGATGACAATTGAAGATCACATCGGCACCTTGTGTTGTAAACTGCGCAGAAAGGCGTGCAATCAAACATAAATGCATAATTTGCATACAAATATACACAAGTAGACAATAAATGCAGGCATGTACATATGTTTGTACATATGAGTGAGTGAAAAATGAAAACAAAGAAATGCCAGTCAGGCAAAATTATGCTTTTTGTTACTGTAGTACATATGTATGTAATTATGCACACTAGAGTGCAATTATTTATATACATATATGCATGCATGTATGTATATCTACTCATGTTTTGGGGAAATTCACATATGTATGTGATGCACCTACCGATGATTTGCCAAAAGGCACCCATGTGATATCGATGTAGTCGCGTAGTTCGCCCTTAACTGTTGGAAAGATTTGCTCGGTTATGAATTTTGCGCTGTCTGGACAGAGTGATTCATAGTAAATGGTTACAGGTACCTATGCGTATTAAAGAGAAAAGGAATATTATTATTTTAAGTACATAAAAATGAACAAATAAATCAAAACGTTAAATACAAATAATTAAACACATATTTTATAAACGTTTTTTTTTTTAATTTATTTATTTTGTGAGTGTCAATTGGCTTTCGGCAAGCTGCCGCTAATTAAATAAAGTTTTACTTTTAACAAATATATGTACACATGTATGTAAATATTTTCTTTATTTATTTATATATATTATATATATATATATTATATTTATATTCAAGCGGCATCCAGCGGAATCGGGCACGAACTTATGCACTCATCCAATATAATATCTTTTATCTTTTATCTTTTTTTATATATAATATATTTTACATATATAGTATTAAATAATATCTGAATGTTCTATAGAAGCTGTTGACATTGTTTAAACACATTTTTATATGAAAACAGGCGTTGTCCCGCTTGAATTTATGTTTTTTTATAAAGAAAAGAAAGTTGAATTTATATTGTGTTGAAAATCATTTATTTACGATTTATTTACATTTATTTTTTTTTTCAATGTAACGCAGCTTGATTAACAACATTTTTTTAGTTTTCTGTTCCGCAGCGCCAATGTATAGCGAACAAGCCACGTACACGTATAGCTGGCCATGTGAAAAACATATCATTTAGAGACTAAAGCCACATATTTCCAGGGACAGTCTTTCTGACCTATTGATTGCATTGATAATTTTTTACTAACTATCTTTGTTTTTTGTTTTTTACTTTCTTATAGATTTGGAAAAAACAAATTTAAAAAAAACTTAAAAAAAAAAAAACAATATGGAAAGAAGTCACTTTTTTGGAATTTTCGAATTTTTCGACTTTTCCTCACAAAAAAAGTATAAGTATTTCTCATTTCTAAACATTCCCAGATCCACAACGAACAACCTCTGAAAATTGCATCAAGATTGATCAAGCCGTTCTCGAGCCTTAGCGTAAAAATAAACAAATAAATAATTTCTATATAAATATTAAGATAAGTAAGTAAAATGTTAACACTTGTGCCCCAATTCGAGTTTAACATAATAATATGACATTAACAGGCCTATTCTCACCATTACCGGTAAAGTAAATTTTGTTACTTTTTTTAACACCCGAAATGGAATTTGGTATTCTGGCGAACTGGTTACAATATTTGAAAAAAAATTTGGCAGCACTGCTTTTCTTCTCCTTGTCAAATTGCACTTGTCAGTTAATAAAGTAAAAAAGAAGAATATTTACATCGAAATGTTTTATTTATCTGTTTATTGAATCATAAAGATTTGACCTAATTATTGAAATTATGCCTAAACGACAAAAAAAGCTGAATGAAAACGCTGTCTCCCAAAATAAAAGGGTCATTCTTCTTCTTGCAAACTTCTTAGCATAAGCCTTTTTACACTTTTATCTTTCACTTCAATGAATTCCAGGCCTAAAATATACCTACTCATTTTGGTTTTTATTTTTTCTCGAACTAACAACACCAAATCAAACAGTAGATTTTTTGTTAACTCCTAATTTGCTGGTAACAAAATTTACAGGATGACAGAGAGCTCAGAATACGAAATAGCACCAAAATTTACTGAATGGTAAATTGAGTTCTTGTGTTAGCTGAACTTTATAAGGCGTAAGACCCAAGTCTCTGTGCAAAATATGGTGTAATGAAGTTTGTGGAATGCACAACCCCAAAGAACGACAAGGAATTGAGAAACATGGGGTTTCTTCAACACTTTCGGCTACTGCAGCAATATTCTCAGTTTTGATTCTTCATATAAATTTGTTCTTCCAGCACCATTTTCTCCACCAATCTCAGTATTGCGGTCCGACAAGTTGCTTCACGACGACCAAAAAATGTTTAAGTTCTGCGAACCGTCTCTGCCAGGTTTTCACCATTTTCATAGTGAATTCTAATAATGTCAATACCTTGTTGATTTCTATATCGTTACATTTTTATTACAAGCGTAGTTTTTAGTTGTCGATTGTCAAAAAATTCAGCTTAAAAAGTAATATCTACCATAATAGCAAGCTATTGAAAATAACACCTCTTATTGGAAAGACTTTTATATGTATTCATGACCCATACTTGAAATATATGAAATTGGTAGTATATAAATCATAGTGGATCCAACAAAAATATATAAATTTGGTAGAAATAACTGAAAAACTGAGCGACTAGTTTGCTCATAGACAGAGGAGCAACCAGACGTGGCAAATCCACTCAAATTCTGATCGAATCGGTATAAATTTTGATGTTTGATGATGTGCTTCCGTTCTCCTTCTGGTACTTGTATACTTCAGCTTAAAGTTAAGAAATTTATAATATAACATTTCATGTGCATGAAAGGTGTTCGATATACTTATTTTTATTTAAATAAATGAAGGACTAATATTGTTATTAGGATTTTTTGTCTCAAGATAATCGGAAGATTATTTTTTTAAAATTATCTATAATTAATATTTGTCCGATTTATGAACTTGATCGACATGTCCGCACCTTCATGATTGGCATACGTAAAGGAGTTCAAAGACTCTGACCAATGGCAGCTAGGCCTTCAACTTGTAATTACAATTATTAAGACAATTTTTTTTTTACCGACTCTAGGTATATGTTGCTTTTAGATCCCTTACCGGAATTTCACTACTCTATCTATGCATTGTCGGTATGTAATTTCATCTTTGAATATAGTTTTAAAACTATTTTGGTGGTATTTTTGTTTCCTCTGCCAAACAATTATGTATGTACGAGTATGTACATTAATGGCGGTAAATAACTGCCAAAGCCGGTCAAAATTATTATGGGGTGGAGTTGCACGAAACAGGAAGTCACTAATGGTAGAAAATTGCAAGTCAAAGTACTTGAAATTACTATAAAGTAATGCGTTTAAAAATCAATTACCTTCGACGCACTTTGAGAAGAACCGTTCTCAAATAAAATGTGTGAAAAACACATTGCATTAGAATAGGCTTAACAGTATTTTCTAAAAAAAAATATTAAATTATATAAAAATATCTGCATAAGCACAAACATATGTATGTATATAGCTTTTAGTGCTTGAATATACGTACATATGTACATATATGTAGGATCCACCGATAATAGTAAATCTGCAATTGAGTGTATAAATTAACCTTTAAATTTATCATTTGACCGCAGCGAGTTATTTTTTCGCAATTCGCTTCATGGATGAAGATATGTATATGTATGTAAGTACATATAATACATATGTATACATTATATCTTTCATATGGATCACGTAAACATATATAACATGCGTACAAATATACATACATACAAGTATTATGAGTATAATTACTTTTAAATTTTATTCATTTAGGCTTCTGTTATTTAATTTATACCTAATTTTGCGGTATTTACCAAATTTGGAAATGATGTCAGTTGTTTTGAAACGAAAAAAAATTGCAATCAATTTAGTTAATTATTATGCGAAGCACACCAAAACAAAGTAAAAGAAATATGTATGTATGTGGGAAATACGAATGTTTGAACTTCCAAAAAAACCCCGGTTTTATTATTTAATAATAATATTTATATATATATATATATATATATATATATTTATTTAATTCGGAACTTTGTTTCAGTTAATAATAATATTACTTATTAAATATTACCAATAATAACAGTAAATAAAATAGATCAAAAAAAAAAAAAAATAAAGACAAATAAATAGAACGGGTGCATGTTTTTAGTTTTGCGATATTTAATGGGCCAATATTTTCTTGATTTATACTCATATATGATTCGTGTGTCGTATTGAGCGCTGTTTTCAATATTCGGTCGGCATAATCGCTAAGCAGAGTCAGTAGTTCGCGTAACGATGATTCGGTTTCGCACCACGTTTTCTCTAATGGATAATGCGCATCCTCACCGCAGAGGCTATTGCTGCTGTTAAGCAAAGCATCGAAAAAGACACAAATGAGTTTAAGCGTCATCGCGCACAACAATTGGAGCTGTGTTTATTCAATTTATAGAAGATTTTGTGGAAGGATCTTAGTCTGCTTGCCTAAAAATTTCAACTCCTGCAGAATTGAAGGCAAACGGCCATTCGGCGCGACGTACGTTCGGTGAAGGGGCTCAAAATGAGTTGGCTATCGGTCCCGATATACACAAGACAATTTTATTCAGCGAATAATCTCATTTTTGGCTCCATAAGCCTTTGTTGATACACCGTAACATCCTCATAAAGCCATTGCTTAGAGTGCTTCATGGGCAGAGGAGGTAATTGGTTCATATGTCTTCAAAAATGAGGCCAACCATAATGTTACACGTGCTATAGAGCCATGATTAGTTGGAGGTTTCTGATGTGGACGTGATGTGGTTCAAACAAGGCATCGCTATATACCGCAGAGCCAACGATTCAATCAATTTATTGAAGGAAATTTTTAGGGAGCGAATTATTTCGTGTCGTGCGCCTAGAGTGTGGCCTCCAAGATCCTGCTATTTAACATCGCTGGACTATTTTTGTGGAGTTGTGTGAAGTCGCTTGTCTATGAACGTAAGCCAGAAACGATTGGCGACATGCCGCATGCAAAAGTGCTCAAAAATTGGTACTTTCAGCTGGAATTTATTGGAGCCAGCCGTGGCTTCTACATGCCGGAAGTCATTTAAAATACCTAATAGTAAATCCTTAACTTTATAATAAAGCTAAATTCTTGACCATAGCATCAAATTATATACGTACGAAATTCGAAATTTAATGATCCATAAAGAATTTTGAGCCACAACTACGAGTATTTTAAGTTTGTCTCAGTGTTTTGTATTGCTGAAGCGTTTTACATATACAAATTCTATTACTTTTCAACCGGTTTTTCAACACAATGGCTTATTTTGTAGTTAGTAGAAGAGTAATTTAGCTACTCTACATGAGCTTTGCAGTGGAGAGTAAGGTAGGCACTTACCTCTAAACTTCTCTCTACCTTTTACTGCGCGGTGGTCACATGTTTATGTTTACTAACTGCCACCTTGCAGGTAGAACGAACTAGTACGAGTATGCAAAGCATAATTGAGAAAAAAAGTAAATAATAAAAATATATATATGGCGTTACACAAGCCCCTGCAGCTAAGCTTGGCTTGGTAGCGATGACTCCCAGAACCGGTTTACGCATAACTATAGAGTGGAAAATCGCACATTGGGATGGTAAATCGGAGTAAAAAAAACTTGTTCTTGAAGGAAAAAATTTTAGAGAATACTTATTAGTTAAAAGCAGTATTATTATGATCTGTTAGCTTATTTTTTTTGTTATTTAATTTTGAACTTTTTAAATTAGATTTTTAGATTTACCAATGTAATAAAAAACATTTAAATTAAAATTTAAATTTTTTCCACAATTTTGGCCATCTCACAACCCACGGTGCATCATTAGCTGGGTAAAAAGTTAAAAAAAATTTCATCACAACGCTTACGAGTATTGGTTACTAAACACAGCGATCAAAGCAAAGAGTGGACATAAAAGTATTGCATCAAAACAAAAAACTTGAATACGAAAATCTTTTTTTTTTTTACTTTTGTAACTATTACTAGATATTTTATGCTGGTGTGCGGAACACAACAAATGTAATGAAAAAATAAATAAAAATAAAATAAACTTATCTAAAATAAAAGTGAGTACAGTTATGCATCAGTATGGTAATTAACAGATACTACTGTATATATTTATATGTAGTTACATATGTAGATACCTTTCTCTAAAACTCATTCATTTGATCATTAAAGTATATTTCGAAATAATAATATGTATGGGATTTTCCATAGTTGTTTAGTACAAAGCTATATATAATATATATATATATATATATACATATATATTGTAACCGCTGAAGCGATTTTTGGCCGAGCTTTTGCGTCTTGATGTTTTTTTTAAAAAATGGAGGGACTCACAGTTAATAGTTAACCGCCTCCGAACGGCTGATGGTATTTTTATGGGGAGCTTAATTTCATGTCCCAAATACACTCGTTCCCTGACCCGTTGCGACAATAATTAGAAAATTTAGCTTAATTTTTGGATGTTAGTACGGCACCAGGATTTGAACTCGACCTTCCGAATGGTATTACGTAATGCTAACCACTGGGCAACCAGCCAGTACATGGTTGTGGTATTGCAATATTTGAATAATTTTTTAAACTATGCACATTAATTTTTTTATTGCAGGTGTCGACGTGTAATCATCACACGTATTCTTTGTTAAAAACGAATTTGCTTAGTAACGGCAGTTTATAAAATTGTTACATTAATATGGGTCGGAATATGAAATAAGATATAAAATAAGATAGCATAAAATAAAATAAATTAAGTAAAATAAATTAAAAATAAACTAAAACAAAATAACCTAAAATGAAATAAAATAAAATAAATTAAAATTACATAAAATAAAGAAATATTAAAATAAGAAAATAAAATAAAATAAAATTAAATTAAAATAAATTAAATTAAATTAAATTAAATTAAATAAAATAAAATCAAATTAAATAAAATAAGATAAAATAAAATAAAATAAAATAAAATAAAATAAAATAAAATAAAATAAAATAAAATAAAATAAAATAAAATAAAATAAAATAAAATAAAATAAAATAAAAATTAAATGAAATAAATTGAAATGAAATAAAATCCAATACTTCAAAATATATCTAAATTAAATAAAGAAGAAATGATGTTGAATAAAAATCAAAACTTTAATTTTTAGTCTACCTTAATATACGTAAATTAATATTTTAACTTTTCATTTTTATTTTACCACAAATATATTGTTTTGTATAGGAATATTTCCATAACTAATGTCTAAACAACATTCACAATGGCGAGACGATAAATATAAATTAGTTTTAAATAACACACATACTCGTACATATGCATGTCCATGAATATTTGTTTGTTTAAGTAATTGCTTTGCTCACGATCAGTGTTAATAAATTTTCTCTTGAACACGAAATCAATAATTGACAAAGTGTTTGACACAAAAAACTGCATGACCCGATTAAGTGTTTAGCTCAATTATACCATTGTTGTTACTATTATACATATATGTGTGTACGCAGTTTTAACACTTTCATGTAAAGTAAAACAGTGCATACAGACTTAAAAATTAGTATGCGAATGCTAATAAACAGTTTATTTTCCAAAAAAATTTTCACACTGCGCACTGAGCAAATCAGAAAATTTGCTTAAGAAATATGATAAAATATAGTAAGCTGGAGGTATACACACACATACACAGCACTTATAGCATTAATAAGTATTATGTACTTAGATTTTAGACTTTTTTGACTTTTCACTTTACCTTCAATGCATTGGCAGCTGCAATCAACACCAAGAACAAGCCGAACACTTTCTGACTCATGATAATTTCTTGTTATTCAACCTTTTTGCTGATGAATAGAATTTTATGATTTCCACCGAACACAGCAACAACAAGACAAGACAAAAGGTTGCTTGTAGATGCAGTAACAAAAAAGTTTATCAAATTTCAAATTTCAGGTCAAGCGAATTTGATGGAATTAAATTATGTATGTATTCGGTAATCTTTTATGCACAAAAATATTTTTTTATCTCTGAGCAATTACAAACACTTTGGAGCACTTCAGTATATTCGTTTGAACCGGGCAACGCCTAAAACTCAACTGCCAACACTTACTCAGAGCTTCAGTCGGCTAGTCTCAGTGAGGGCTCGAACTGTAGCTTTTTTTGTTTGAACGCTGCGAGCCGCTAACCGGTGACTTGACTTTGCTTGGCTTGGTTGGTTTGGTTTGTGGTGGCGGTTTGACTTGACTTCGTCGGCAATTGGTTTGGGTGGCTTGCTAGTTGACTTGGTGGGTTCTGAGTCGCAGATACAAACTGAGTTGTTTGACTCATTAGTTAGTTTATAGTACCAATACACGCATACATTTTAAATATTGTTTTGTTGTCGTATAGGTATTTATGTATTTCACTCGTGACAAATGATGGTTTGAACGCGATTTGAGCTGATCGTCGCTTGGCTTTATAATGAGTATAGATATGTACGTGTGTTTGCTGTGGGAGACTTTGAGGTAAAAACTGTTGCATTTTCTGGTTATTCCAATAAAAAGTTGGTACAATGTATGCGTAAAGAATTGAGTTTTGAGTAAGCTAGTTTTTAAATGAACAAATAGTTAATAAAAAATTTAATTTGTTGAGAAGTAATTACAAATTCTTGATTTTTAATAGATTCACTTCTATGAAATTCTGTCTATAGTAAAATTTGACAATGAGCATGTGATCTACAGCATGTATCAGACGGAGAGCTGGTCTCGGAACTGTAGTTGGTCACTCGGTTAAGTCTGAATTTCGTCATTTACGGTTTCGATAGCTAACGAAGTAAGGAATCTAGAGTCGTCAGAACTCTCCGTGCTTTTTAATACTTTACCAACAAAATGGAGGGAGCTGGAGTTTATTGTAAGCCGCCTCTATAGATGTTTGAGAGGAGATCTTCTGAACTTGAGTGAACTTGATGAAATAAAGTATCAGTGGAACACCGATGTTTTCATTATCAGTGGTATCTCCGATATTCTTTCATTCAGTCTTCGAACGATTTGTAAGTGGTTCCCTTTTGGGGCTTAACGAATGCATATGGTAGTTTTCAGAAATGTGCCGAGGTATCTAATTTTAACAAAATTTTCCCCAACTAAGCACCTTACAATGGCTTTCTACCTTTTATCACATTTCTGACAATTTTCTCCATACTTTATTATATTCTCTTGCGAAAAATTCAATAACGCAAAAAAATCCGCTCGAAACCTCTCCAAAGATTATTTGAAAATATACTATATACTGCCAAGACAATACGATATACTATACAAAGAAGGAAACTGGCTGGAAATGATTGGCGCAATATCCACGGCGAAACTTCTCCAAATGGTCTGAGTCTGATAAACTTCGCGGCGACCCGAGATGTGGTTGTCTGTAGCGATACATTCTTGCATAAAAAATCCTTCAAGTCACTTGGTTGTCACAGTCCCAAAAGACACGAAACGTAGTCGACGATGTTGTGATAGCCGAAAGATATGTATTCAGTGCTTCAGATATGTGTACTTTCTGGGGTGCTATTTTCTTGGTGCAGCGAAGAAAACGCGTTAGCGTAAACAAAGAAGTTTTGAAGTTTTGTCTCTAAGGGCACAGATATTCTTTCTGTAGCTCTATCGAAGACTGGAATTCATGAGTTGTATTAAATTTACAAAGAGAGTCGAGAAAGCGTTGAAAGAAATGGTGCCCTAAGATCTTAGATTGGAAATCTGCGTCTTTATTGATCTTATCGGAAGAAGCAAAAGGCTGAGTAAAACTATTTGAATTTTTGCACACTGCCTTCGTTCTGCACAGCACATTCGGGTCTTCGGCTACGCTTTCACTTACCGCAACGATGCTTGGAACGAACTGCTTAAGAGGTTACATAGGTCTTGAAACTTCAAAAAGTTAAATTTTTTATACTCTTTTGTATAACAGTACAAAGTGTCAGGATTTCGCAACCGCTATTGAAGCGATCGATTTAAAACTTTCCACACTTCTTTGAAGCTTGTTTTTGTAGTCCCTGAACGAAGGATTTATTTTATCTTTGATTCAACTCATTTTACAATCCGATATTTGGCCTAATTTTATGCAAAAAATGACGTTTTTCGTAAAAAAGACTAAAAAAAATTCAATTTATAATTTATCTTTATTCAGGGGCAAGGAAAATTCACATTCTTCATGAAAAAGTTTGGATTTTTGATTTCAGATAAAAATTGAAAAGGTTATCATGACTACCGCGAAAGCACTTTCCTGTGGACGGTCTACTTCACAACACTACCAACGGCTTAACTTATACTATTTTTCGTTCAAATTTCCATCAAATGTTGTCCACATATTGTATCCTTTAAAAAAGTTAGAGAAAAGAAGCTTTTTTGGCCTTGAAGACCTATGTAAGCCCTTAAGAAGCTGGACGATTAGTAAAATCCTCTAAAGCACGATTTAATCTCATAAATGCCTGACTTTTAACAAAAACAAAAACATGCCCTGTACTTATGAAACCCCGAATTGGATAATCTTATATAAAGGATTTTCAAGTTAATAAATTCTTTTTATACTTTTTTCTGCCTTTTTTTATTAAATAAATATATTACAAATTTAATTAGTATTCATTTACAAATACTTAAGTTGATGTATTTCACCTTTCAAATACATAAAAATATTGTTGAAAAAAGTCAAATACGATTTATGTCAAATATAGTTTCAGAATGCAAAAAGTTCTGCTACTTTGTCTGGACAAATAAGTAGTTAAAGTTCCTTGGCATTTCAAAATTATTCAAAAACTTTGTTTTTTTTCTGACCGAAACTAAATACCGGCACTCTCAACGCTCTAAACTAAGCGCAGCAACAAATAAGTTATTAAGGTTAAAAAGCGTTTGAGAGTAGTGGCGACAGCAGAGTTGTAAGCGGCACACACTTCAGGCTGCGGTTTTGGAATATATTTACAGGAAACCTCCACGAAGTTAGTTAGGGCGGCATAATTTTCCTCTGCATCATAGTGCTATGAATAAAAAGTTTTAAATTCGTTAAAAATCTTATAAAAATAAACAAATTTAAGTAGAAATTAAGTAAGCATATTGCGATTATTTACCTGCTTAAAATCAACAGTTGGCACAAAGCTGATTGGATTTTGGAAGTTTTGGGTTATCTCCCCTTGTTTCTTGAGCAAATGACTACCCTCGGTGGAGTTGGCGCATTGTTGGATATTCTCCCAGTTTCTAACGTTGCTTTCACGTGCACTGAAAAAATAATAAACAACAACAACAATCAATAAAAGCATAATTATACACCTCTTTCTGCCATCCAACTCACCACCGCACCCCCGGATATACATTGTCATCGAAATTCCTGCCCGCTTTCATCATACAATTGATGAACTCCAATGTCGACGATTCTCTGGTGGATTCGGTTTGGTTGGAGTCGGTCTGTATATGTTCGATGGCACACGCGTGCACTTTATTGCCATAGCATTCGTCAGGACCGTGCTGACAGGTGAAGATCACATCGTCTCCTTGTGGGGTGAACTGCGCAAAAGGGCACGCAACAAATCATAAATTCATAATTTGCATACAAATATACATACATACGAGTAAGTAAATCATAAATGCGGATACCTAATCGTAAAATGAAAACAAAGTGATGACAGACAACCAAAAATATGATTTTTTTTTGGGATATTTATAACACAAAGAGTACAATGATTCATATTTTCACATATGTATGTCGATGCGGATGTTTGTTTATCTGTTTTTGAGCAGGACCTACATTAGCTTTACCAAATGGCACCCATATGAGATCTATGTAGTCTTGTAGCTCGCCGTTAACTGCTGGATACACTTGCTCGCTTATGAAATTTGCGCTGTCTGGACAGAGTGATTCATAGTAAATCGTTACAGGTGTCTGTGAAATAAAAAATAATAATAAAATAAGAATTCACACAAATAAAGTAGTGAATAAATGTAAATAACCTAAACACACTTGTATTATTTTTATTATTTATTTTGTGACAAATAATTGGTTTTTCACGAGCCTGCTTATGTATTCATCTCAGAACTTTGCGATCAACCGAGAAGAGAGACGTATTGGGTATGAAGAACTTGAGAAGCTGACCAACTGGGGGGAAATTCTGCGAGAATATGCGGCGACTTTAAGAAAGGAAGAATTCAAAACTGAGGCAAACTCATGTGGAGAAGAGAAAAGCGAACCCAATGGGGTAACCGATGTTTCTTCATCTTACTTCATATCAGTAATGAAGAAAGCAATCAAAGACGATGGTTCAGTTTCATCACCCAACTACGATGATGTACGGCTATACATCAGGCCTCTTTTTCAAAATTTGTTCGGATGAAAGTACGCTTGGTACTTGGACCCCAAATGTGCTCTACTTAATCCACAAAAAAGATAAGAGATGAGCAGATTCATGAATTCTTAACAAAAGAGCTTGCACCTTTTCTCCTTTACTAGCGTGGACACCTCTTAAGCAATCTTAGCCGAGTTAGTAACGCCTATTGAAATACCTGTTACAGCCAGAACTTTCTACACCTGGTCTTTGGAACCAGGGTTCCACTTCCTCTTCGTGCTGTTTTCGTACTATTTCGGACTGATCAATCCCACTCCATTTATAGAAGTTTTGTAATAGAAACTGAACCATAAGTGCAAACCAGACGCTCTTTAAAAGGCATCCTTGATTGCATCGCCTTTCTCCTCCATCGAGACATGGGTGCAAAATAATGGCGAGACGTTTATCCATCGTTGTGAATGGTAAGACTCGGAGCTGTAGTAAAAGTCGCAAGAACCAGTCGTTTCCGGGTTTTAGTCTTACGAGGACATCAGCTAGCTGGGCAGCGATACCTTTGCAATTAAGGGACTGGACCATCAAAGACCGTAATATTTTTACAGTAGTCGTCATCAAAAGTGGAGTCTAGAGTCTGGTGTGGTTTTTACTTGGCAGATCCCAAATAAAATAAAATAATTAAAATAAAATAAAAAAAAATAAAATAAAATAAAATAAAATAAAATAAAATAAAATAAAATAAAATAAAATAAAATAAAATAAAATAAAATAAAATGAAATAAAATAAAATAAAGCCAAATAAAATAAAATAATTAAATAAAAGAAACTTAAATACAGAAAATTATAAATAATTAAAATGAAGTAAAATACAATAAAATTAAGAAATAAATTCCAAGTAAATTATAATTCTGGTACTGGTTTGGTGCAACGAAATTTCAAAAAGAATTTTTTTTATTCCTGGACTACTTTCCAAAGAAAAAAAAACATTTAATTTTTTTATATCCAAAACTAATGCCTAAAAAACATTCATAATCAGAGGGCTATAATCTAAATTAGCTTTTAATTATCTATACGTGATCACGATCAGTGCTCATAAGGAACCACTTGAATGCAAAATCAATAAATGATAAATTTATTGACACTCGCCTTAACTGATTAAATATTTATTCAAGTATTTTTAACACTCTCTTGTAAAATTAAAAAAAATGCATATTTATTTCCATCCCACAAGCGAGTACGAGTATGGACATATAGAGTCGGAGCTTAAGAAGAATGCTAATTAATACATAGTACCTGTTTTCTTGTGAAAATTTCAAACCAAACTAATAGCATAAAATGTGTATACACGTATATGCACACAGACCTTTAAAACATTAGATAGACCCCGCTTATGTATAGCAAGTAAGTAAGTTAAAACATAATTAACTTTTATATGACCATAAAATAACATGACACAGCAATTAGGTTTGATATTTTCTCCTTTCATGAATGTGAAGCGATATTAAATAAAATTTGGTCAAAGTAGATACAAAAAGGAGAATACTTGTAAATAAGAATAGACTCTTTAAATATAGATTTATGACTGTCCATTTGTTTAACTGTCTTTCCGTTTGAAAGAAATCTAGTTCCTCAATATGCGCGCATAGTTCATAATTTGACACTTTAACCGAAAAATGGTTAAGAACTCGAATCTTGGGCAGATCAAGGATAAGAGTACTAGAAACATTTTTTCCCAAACGTGATCCACATAAATATTAAACTATGTATGAAAGGTATAATGACATTCACATGACCAAAGACTGCCCTTTTTCTTTGCTTGTTTGTTTGTTTTCCACCTTACCTTCAATGCATTGGCAGCGGCAATCAACGCCAAGAACAAACCGAAAACTTTTTGAATCATTATAATTTTTTATAAAATAATTTTTTTGCTGGATAGAACTTTATAATATGCAACCGAAAGCAAAATAGAAAATTTTCTTAAATTTGAGCTCAACTGATTTTGATTGAAATAAATTATGTATGTACATACATACATACGTAATTGGTAATCCTTTATGCACAAAACAATTTGCAAGGGAATTTTTTCTCTGAGCACTTAAAAACACTTTCTATATTCGTTTGAAACGTTCAACACCTCAAATCGAACTGCGCCAGTTTGCCCAAAAGCGCCAATCGGCTAGTCTTTGTTAGATTTCGAAGTGTAGCTTCTCGTGCTTGAACGTCCCTCTGACTTGGTGTCTTGACTTGGTGATGATTGTTTTGATCGGTTCTGCGTTTGTTTGATTCATCAAATCGTTTAAAGTACCCATACGCAGGCAAATTAAAAATTTTACTTTGTTATCGTACTGGTGTGTTGTCAATGGGCTATCCCTGCGGGAAAATATTTTAGTTGTTAACTAAAACAAACTAGTTTGCATTGGTGCATTGACTAGTTCATCTTCCGACTAACACGGCCATGTCCTACAAAACTGACATATGTATGTATGTATAATGATGTGCATACTGTGCTCTTCAACGAAGCTGCTTTTGCATGGTGTGAATTCAACCTTAATATACTGTTATTCAACTAGAATTTTTGCATTTACAGATAGACTAGCCTGTACATATATGCTTCTCTTACTTTGAGATTATATCCCTGCCGGGGGAAGGTAGACTATTTAGTATACAAAAATTCCAATTAAATACCAATATTTTGAAGATGAATTCATTACTAGTTGGGGATTTTCTTAAGTCATCCGCCAGTAACGAGAGTAATAATAATTACCGCCGCCTTGTGATGTTCTTAAGCTTATTTCGGTCTATTGAAGTGCGATAGCCTAGTGCTCAGAGGTTATCACTGCAGCGCGTGTAGGTCAGTGTTCCAGCATCACTGTAGGTAAACTTTTTTTTTTGGTCAGCTAGAAATTCAATATGCCCAAATAAAATGGCATACAACTGGTATAAAACTGATTCATAGCTGGGCAAATATCAGTTCGTAGAACATCGCCGTGTTAAAAATACCAGTCGCTGACAGCCCATTGGCGGAGTTATTCAAACATGGCGGTTGAGAGTTGTCAAGGTGCATGCATCAGCTACTTTGCCGAATTTGGTAGGCATGCCCTACGACTTAAATTTGGGACCTCACAGTCTACGCCAATTACCGTTGAATTAGCCTCATAAAAATCACATATGAGGTCCTTTAGAGTGTATTGTGTGAAATACTAAAGCCCCTCGTCCACAAACTGATTGGACCTTATCAGTGTGGCTTTAAACCCTGGAAATCAACCATTGACCAGATATTCACTCACCATGCGCCAAATCATGGAAAAAACCGTGAAAAGAGGATCGAAACACACCACCTCTTGATTTTAAAGCAGCACTCGACAGCACGAATAGGAGCTGCCTCTATGGCGCTATGTCTGGATTTGTTATTCTCAAAAAACGGATCGCGAAGTATCTCTCCGAGCCGTCTGATATCAAACGAGATATTAGACAGAGTGATTTTTTATCGTGTGAATTCTGTAAAAAGATAAGTGATGATATTGACATTATCGGCCTCAGCAACCGCGCCGTGAGTTCTGATTTCTTCAGATTGGATAATGAAGCGAAGGATATGGGTTTGGTAGTGAACGGGGACAATACGAACAATTTCCTGTCTTCAAACAAACAAACATCTCACATCACTTTTGACATTTATAACTTTAACACCAGCAACACTGTCAGCCTGGAAACTCAACGCAGGATCATCCTTGCCAACAGATACTACTTTGGCCTAAGTAGACAATTGAGAAGTCATCTCGACTAACGAAGACCAAACTGTATAAATCGCTTATCGTTCTCGTCTTGCCAAATGGTACGCAGGCATGGACGATGACATTATCTGATGAGTCAGCGTTAGTAGTTTTCGAGAGAAAGGTTTTGCGTAAGATTTATGGTCCTCTACGAGTTGGAATGGTGAATACCGCAGCCGATGGAATGATAAGCTTAATATACGGCGACATCGACATATTTCAGCGTATCAAGAAACAGCGGCTACGCTGGCTAGGTTATGTGGTCCAGATGGATGCGAATACTCCAGCTTTGAAAGTTGGAGTTGGAAGTGCAGTACCCGCCGGTGGACACAGAAGAAGAGGAAGACCTCTACTCCGTTGGAAAGACCAGGTAGAGAAGGACCTGGCTGTGCTTGGTATCACCTATTGGCGTTAAATAACGAAAAAAAAATCAATGGCGTAGTGTCAGAAATTAGGCTATAATCGTTTAAGCGGTGACTACGCCAGTAAAGAAGAAGAAAAAGAACATAGGAAATAAATAGAAGATGAACTTTTTAGTCCGAAAATGCAAGCTAGTTGGATTGTAGTTAATAACTAGTCTTTTTCCCTGCCGGGAGTTGTTGCAATTTAAGATTATTCTATAACACAGACCGACACGATTTTGTAACCAGAAACAGGACTATACTTTTACGAAGGATTTTGACGTGCTGAATCCGAATCTGGATTCAAAACACAAACTTAAAGGTGCCAAAACATGTTTTTTTAATTCATTTGAGGTCGCGCCACTTTTGGGATCGTCATTCTACTTGAAAGTACCACTTCTACACTTCAAAAGCCATTTTGAATTTTTAGAAATCTTTTTTTCCTCGGAGAAATTGTTTATTGAATTTACTGAGTTTGTAAAATTCTTAAATTTGCGGAAATTGAGTAGAACTAAATAAGATTTTAAAAATTGTGAGGAAAATAAGTACCAATACTTGAATTTTGAGTATTCATGAGAATTTTGATGTGACTGCCCTGAAATCCGATCATTATCAGCAACCCCAAAAATCCCCGAGGAACAAGTTTTGGGCAAATCCAAACAATTTCTAAAATATCGCACTTAAATATGGAATTTTTGGTTTCATAAAAGAACAATAATTTAGAACTAAATTAATGATAAGTAAATTTTTTTTAAGTATAAAATATAAAATCCTGCCTATTGTTAAGAGAGGATATCAATTCATTATTCATATTATTTTTTAATTTGACGACGAGGGCTTGACCTTTCGATTAAGTTTTGATATTGTTTTTAAATTAACTTAATGTTAAAAATATCACCTTTTCATTATTTCAAAAAAATTCATGAGACAATAGAGTTCATTGGCATAATTTTGAAAGAGGCTAATCAATCTCCTTTCAGTGTTAGTCAGTGCCTCTCTCATTCTTCTGTGATTAAATAAAGGGTGCTTTTTTACAGATGTGATTTTCAAGAAGAATTAAAAGGCATATAACCTAGTGGAATGGCTAAGTATTTAGCTTTATTATATGGATAAGTGTTCGACATTATGTTTTGAAAATTATTTAAAACAAGTAATCTATGCGGTTGGATGAAATAAATTCCAGCCGAGACCATTATTTGCACAAATCGGTTACGTATATCAGTGGTAACGTGCCGAACATTTCCTTCCAAAGCGTCAATCGTCTCGCGTTTGCCTGCGTAGACAAGCGACTTTGCGACTTCAACTCAATGAATTTTCAGCATCAACGTATATGTGTGAACACAAAATTTCATAAACCATTATTTCGTCCGTTTTCTGCTGCCTTAATCCATCAACTAACAATTATTTTGCATTTTAAATATGTCGTCATTTGAAGTTCGCTTTAGAAAACGATTATATTGACTTCCTATGTAACTGCCTTGAGATTTCGGAAGAAATTCTATATTTAAACTTCGAAATATTATTTATATAATTTTTTTTAAATATGTACAAGTAGTTTTCGTATTACCAAAATTTTATTTCAATTTTAATTAATTAAATATATTACAAATGTGAACTTTATTCATTTCCAAATAGTGAAAGCCGATCTACGAGCACACAAACGTACTTATGAATGTATGGTTATACAAATAATGTTAACAAACTTTAGCACAGCTTTTGTAAAATATTTATTAATATAAAAAAATTGGAACTACTCTAACTGAAGCAAAATCATTTAGTTTATAATGATATAAAAATAATTAAAACAACGTCTGTTTTTTTCTTATGGAAGCAGAAAGTTGTTACACATGGCATATATAAAACTTGCGTTCAGGCAACCTCTCTAAAAGCAGCGCACCAACAAATAAGCCAATAGGGCCGAAATGGGTGTGATAGTGGTGGCGACGGCAGAGTTGAAAGCGTCACACGCCTCAGGTTGCGGTTTTGAAATATATTTGCAAGAAATCTCCACGAAGTTTGCTATGGCGATATTATCCTCTTCGGCGTCATAGTGCTACGGTTATAAAGAATAAATTTTATTAAAAAAAACTAAATCATAATTTCTTATACGAATATATCACTTTAGAGCTCAAAACAATTCCACTCACATTGTTAAAAACAACAGTTGGCACTTTGCTTATTGGATTCTGGAATTTTTGAGTTATTTCCCCTTGTTTCTTGAGCAAATGACTACCCTCGGTGGAGTTGGCACATTGTTGGATATTCTCCCAGTTGCTAATGCTACTCTCACGTGCGCTAAAAAATATCATAATAACAGCATAAACAATCAATAAAGTGTTAATAACTTATATACTAGATTAATCATCCTGCCCTCCCACTCACCAGCGTACACCCGGATATACGTTGTCATCGAAATTCTTGCCCGCCTTCATTAAACAATTGATGAAGTCCAATGTCAATGATTCCCTGGTGTGTTCGATTTGGTAGGAGTTGTCCTGTATATGCTCGATGGCACATGCATACACTTTGTTGCCATAGCATTCGTCAGGACCGTGCTGGCAGGTGAAGATCACGTCGTCGCCTTGTGTGGTGAACTAAGCAAACAAATAACATAAAGAGAAGAATAAATGCAGGCACCTAACCGAAAGGTGAAAACAAAGAAAGGACACACAAAAAAAATTATGAGTTTTGTTTTTTGAAATATTTAGCACGAACAAGTACAATGAAACAATTGTTATATAATATGAATGTATGTGTATGCACGTGTATATATATTTAGCTATTTATAAGCAGTACCTACATTAGCTTTTCCATATGGCACCCATGTGAGATCTATGTAGTCTCGTAGTTCGCCACTAACTGCTGGATACACTTGCTCGTTTATGAATTTTGCGCTATATGGACAGAGTGATTCATAGTAAATCGTGACAGGAACCTGTGAAAAAATAAAATAAAAATATTATAAATGTGTCAAAATGCATACACCAACAAGTACAGAAGAGTAATAAATAACTAAATGCATAGGTTAGGTTGAATTGGCTAATGAGCAACAGCTATCCTAGGCCGTCAAACCAACCAGCCTAGCAACGAGGATATCACTGACCCCCCAACCGCCGGTCAAACAAACTTGTGGAGTAACCGACATGTGTTTGAACCCGCTATTTAGCTCAAAGTCTCTAAAGGTTACCACCGCTTCCATGTGCGGGGCATTCGCAAAGGAAGTTCCTTAAGATTTTAGCCTCCACCTCCTCTCTATAAATATTGGCGGAAGTAGTTGGATGGTACGAATCTCTCTCACTCTATCTGTGGCCTAATAGAAGATTACTAATAAGAGCAACTTCCATTGTATATATGTTCATTATTTTTATCTCTCAATCTTCTGTTATTCCTCTTCCATCATTTTATTCCCCTTCCTTTCCTAACTGGTCACGTTGCAACCATTGAGACTATTCCGTCTTGGGTTAGCTTAATTCTGTTATAATGACTTTACAAGTTGAGAGCGATATGCCTTAACTCTTCTACGATGGCGAAAGTTGAAGCGAAGAGCTCTTCCTTATAAGCTCATCCGCCATTCCCTTAGTTTAGAGATATCTCCTTAGCCATCTCGATTAGTGCTTTGCGGCAGTTTCCTACCGTTTCTAATCTTTATGTTGTTAGCCGAGAAGATATAGGTACGATACATCGAAAGACCCCTTAGACGTAAAGAAGTAAAAGCCTTATTAAAAGCACTACGGAGGCGAAAGGGCTTGTTAATCTCAAATTCTCTTAAATACATACTTGTAAAAATATAACTATTTTTTTTATTATTTTGTAAGAGAAAATTGACAAATCTATCTACCAATCTCGCAACTGCTTCCTATTAAGAGCCATTTGGAAAGGATACAGATAAACAAGGAGAGAAAATGAGAGAGGGCGAAATGTGTGATTAGGAAGGGGGACCGGATTGTTCTATAAGAATATGCAGCGACTTATAGAATGTTTCAAAATATGATTAAACTCATTTAGGAATCAAAGAGATGATCTGGTGACTGACATGAGTGTATTGAGCTTTTGAAGGAAAAACTTCTCCAGTCATCTAGATTGCCGTGAAAGTGAAACACGCAGACAAGATTAATGTATCTGTTTATTTTTTGCTGACTAATTCTTAGAAGTCATATTTTAATATATATAAATATAATTGTTGTAAGTACGCTCTTAAAAATTGTCTCAAGTAGATACTAGACACTTAAGAGCGCTACGATCGTTCTTTTAACATATTTTTTGAATTTGTATCAAAGTATTGAAATTATCCATTAAGTGGCGGGACTGAAGTATTTTCGATATCTCTCTACTGAAGAAGATTTATATGTAGTGTTGTGTTATCAAAAGTTAATATACTAGTTAAATTAGTTTATTACCTTTAAGGTTGATATAACAAATCGAACAAATTTATGAAGAAACCTCAGAAGGATAAATTTTATAACCAAATAAATTATTTTTTTTTTTAGAAACAAATTTGCCGTCTCATGGTACACTTTCGATACTTAACCAATTAAAAATCCAATTTCGCAATAAATCTGTACATCTACAAACGCACATTTATGAACATTAGTCTGGTGCAAATAAATTTTTTTCGCACTTACAAAATGTTAGTAAACTCAAACAGTTACTATAATAATCTAAAATAAAAAATGAAAATATTAAAAATAAAATAAAGTAAAAAAATCAAAAAAAAAAAATAATAATAATTAAAAAATAACAATAAACTTAAAATAAAGTAAATAAAACATAATAAAATTACTGGAATAAATAAAATAAAATGAAATAAATAAATCTAAATAAAATAAAATAATTTGCACTAAATTAAAATATAATACAGTAAAATTAAGTTAAATAAATACAACAAAATAAAGTAAAATGAAATGAGAGCCTAATTAAAATAAATTTAAGTAAATAAAATTAAATTAAATAATTTGAACTTAAATAAAGTAGAATATAATGAAGTAAAACAAAATAAAATTAAAATAAATTAAATATACTAAAATAAAACAAAATAAACTCAGAAAAAAATTACTAAAACAAAATAAAATAAACCAAAGTAAAGTGAATAACAGTAAAATCAAAAAAAAAAAATAATAATAATAAAAGAAAGTAAAATAAAATCAAGTATAATAAAAAATAAAGAAAAATTAAATAAATTAAATAAATTAATAAATGAAAAATAAAACCAAACAAAGTTAAAAAAGAAAATGAAAATAAAATAAAATTATATAAAAAACAAAATAAAATAAAACTAAATAAAAAACATAATAAAATAATATAAAATAAATTGAATAAAATATAAATAGTAAAAGAAAATAAAAATAAAACATATAAAATAAAGGCAAACAAAATAAAAAAGGAAACAAAATAAAGTAAAATAAATATAAAAAAAATCAAATCAAATAAAACTAAATAAAGTAAAGTTAAATAAATTAAAAACATAAAATAAACATTATTAAATAAAACACTATAAAATAAAGGAAAAAAACTAAAATAAAAAATATAATATTAAATATAATACATATTAATAAAAAAATAATATGTAATAAATAAAATAAAATAATATAGTAAACAAAATACAATAAAATTAAAAAAATCATCGTTTCATTTTGGAGTTTTTGACAAATTTTACTGTCGACAGCAAACCAAATTCTAAAAATGATTGATATTTCCTTATTTTTTCGCTTACCTTAATGTACGTTATTTATTTTAATTTTTTATTTTTATTTTCACACGGTAATTTTTATTTGACTACGTTATACTTTGTATGTATCAATAACTAATTTCCTAACAATATTCACAATCAGTAAGCCATAAAACTAAATTAGTTTTTAATTATCTATATGTATTATATACGTGATCACGATCAGTGCTCATAAAGTTTCCCTCGAACACAAAATCAGTAATTGACAATTTTATTGAAATAAAAACTGATTAAACTGTTTAAGTGTTTAGTCTATATATAACCATTTTTAGCGCTTTCTTGTAAAAGTAGAGAGAGAGTGTAGAAAAGTTGCATGTTTATGGTTTGCAGTTTCGAAACTTTCTATAAGCCGCTGCATGTGCTCATAGACTTTCCGAGCATGATTCTTGCCGGTCAGTCAGTTTTTCAAGCTCTACTCATACTACGCATTTCGCTCTCTCTTCTTTTCTGCTGTAAATGCATCTCACCTCTGCTTAGAAGTTCCTCTATCTCTCCCATGTGGCTCTCAGTCAAACAACGTTTCGAGATTAGTAGGTACTTTTGTCAAGTTACTCTCAAAAAAATAAAAAAAAAATTTGCAAGTACGTATTAAAAGAACAACACAAATAAACAACTTAATATTAGCTTTGATATGGGAATTTCTGCAGGTAAGGGACACTAGAATTTATCCACGTTAAGGCATTCCTGTCATAAGAGGCGACTAAAATCCAATATTTCCCCGCAAACTTTATACCAGAACGACCCGGATATTTATCCGGCCAAGGATTTTTACGCCCACAATATTCCCCGAATCCAATTTGGAGAAAGTTTTTCAGCTTATTACAACAACAACAATAACATTAAATATTAAAAAAGTGTTTCATAAACGAGTTATGAAATAAATCGCTTCTCACAACAATCCAATAAATAACGCATTAATATTTATATATGTATGAAAGGTGCACTAAAGACTTTAGTATGACCGTACATTGCAATCCCGTTATTTTTTTACATTTTACCTTTACTGCACTGGCAGCTGCAATCATCACCACGAACAAACCGAAAACTTTCTGACTCATGATGAATCCTTAATGTTTAACCTTCTTTACTGACGAATAGAACTTTATAATTTCAAATAAGTACAAAATTTTTTTTTTTTAATTTTCTTTTATGCACAAAACAAACAACAAGAAAATTTTCTTGTATTTATAAGCAAACGCTTTGTAGCACTTCAGTACATTCGTTAGAAACGGTCAACGCCTAAAATTCAACTGCCCTTATTTGCTTAAAGTGCAAATCGGCTAGCCTTAGGCTAGGGCTCGAGCTGTAGCTTCTTTTGTTTTAAACGTCACAATGCGAATCGTTAATCGGTGAATTGACTTTGTTCGGTTTGTGGTGGCGGTTTTTCTTGATTTAGCCGGTGATTGGTTTGGGTGGCTGGCAAATTGCTTTGATTGGTTCTAAGTTGTTTAACTCATTAATTATTTTATAGTACTCATATGCAGTTATGTAAGTTTGTTTCGTCATTTGGCTTTGAGAAACAATCGCCAAATTTGGTAATTTCAAGAGATTACTAAGCTTGCAGTTTTGTAATAAACTTGAGAGTGAGCATATAAAACATATAGTAGAAAGATATATTATATTAAAATTTCTTTTCCTTGACTTTTGTGAAAACCAATGTAACATGCGATTTTTTTTGAGTTAACTCTGAGGTGAGTTCAGCTTTTCACTTCTTGTAAAAGTTTCTTAAACGTTTTTTTGCTACAAAGTATTCCAAGTTTACTTCAAAACTTAGGAAAACTAATTTCGATTTTCTTTGAATGATACAAAAATATTTTTTATTTTTTTTATAATTTTTTAAGATCTGTGTATGTATATGCACATACACTACTGTACAAAATAGACAGAAATTGCACCCTCTAACAATAATTTATCTCCAATTTTCTTCAATTCTTCATAAATGTTTACCAAAACCTTTAATTTTTCCTCAATTACCTTGACCTCTACTGAATACCACTAGAAATTAGCAGAGTTTTTTGCTTTACTCACACTTGCAATTGTACATATGTATGTACATATGTGTTTATGTATGTACATACTGTATTAAAAATAAAATATTTTGCATATAAGAATTTAATCAATATAATTGAAATAAATACAAACACCTTCTCCACGCTAACTATAATTAACTGTGTTTGTTGCTTTGTGCGCACAAAACTTTCCTTTGACTAAATACTATTTTTAGTTGATTCACATTGTGGGAGGCATTGTAGAAATATAGAATACGGTTTATAGTCACGCTATAATTTTGGAGCTTTTCTTTTTTTATTTATTATAATATGCACATAGAAATGTATATGCAAATGATTAGATTTATTTCAAAGGCAGCTTAGTAAGTTCTCAGCCAGTTTCTACATATTTAAATTCATTTATAGCTATGTGTGTATGTATGTTCTTACATTCACCTACTACAAACAATTATTAATCATATATGTAAATATATAAGTACGTATGAACAAGATTGACAGCTACTTTGCGATTACAAATTTTTTTGTAAACTCGTTTTATATTAAAATCAATATGAATTTTCAAATCACGTTTCTCTTATAATTTACCATCTCATTCATTCATTCGGAGGGTGTGTGAAAAGTTTGGTGGGCGTTGCTTTCGTAGATAACAACATATCGCCAATGAAATATAGAATGAGCTTAATTTATTTTCAAATTCTCGTGATAATAATTTCCCGTTTTTTTTTAATTGAAAAACGCTTTCTCCCTTCTTTTCAATTATATATGTTCAGTTTGAATCTTTTCAAAGTTCTTTAACGAAGGGGTTTAAACTATAAAATACATATATTTAATAGTTAATGCTAATTTTGCGTGTTAAAAAATTGTATATCATACCATTGTAGCTAACACATAACAATGAATATATATGTATGTATGTATAATTATACAGAGAAAAATCACTAAATCATAGTATTTTGTAATCAACTTCGGGAACACATTTTGCTTTTAAATAAGTGAATTAAAATTTTTTCTCAATAATGATGATTTCATGAAGGAAAAAAAGTTTCACATCAAAGTATTTATTTATTTATCATGGAAACTCTTACATTTCAATATTAAATGTAATTATGGAATTTTAGTTAATTATTATTATTTAATTTGCATACAACAACCTGTTACAAATGCCTTAATTCAATTAGTGCTTACATTCATATGTATACATATACTGAATACACATTCAGTAATCTCTCTTAAGCATAAAATTACATTTTACATTTATTTTACGTTTTCAATTACATTTCCCACTGAATACGCAAGGAAACTCAGTCAGCTTATAAACATGTTTTCATTAGCGAAAGGTAAAACCTTTTGTTTTTAAATCTTTCCGTGCCAGTTCAATCTGCTCCTGCAATTCTTTAGCAGCGTATGGGCAATCGTTAAATGTAAATGTGCGATAGAGTACCACAGTAGCGGAGTAAACCTGTGTACAAAAAAAAAAAAATTAAATAAATTGTATATTTTTATACTAATATTGATTGACTTACTCCAAATAATACCAATAACACAAGTGGCAGTAACTGAATCTCTATTTCCCATTTAGTTAAAACTGGCGCCTGCAAAAATCCTGTCACTATGGCTAGATACGGTATCGCAAATAATGAAAGATACATTAGCCAACGTTCTAAATTTGTCATTCCCATTATTAAAGCCGGTAGAATTTACGTATACTTGGAATGTTAGAATTGTGTATAAATAATAAATACTTGCGTGGCTTTTGGCATTGACAATCAGCTGTTTTATAAAGCGCTTACTAGCAGCCGCCGTTAATTTTCACATCGAACGGCGTTGTTTTACTTCGTCTATTGTGAATGTAGCTCATAGCGCCGCTGGATGGCGCAGTTATCAGTTAGTCTTCAGTTAAAATTAAAACTTTTATACGTTTGGCACGCAGTTTGCAAATAAGCAAGTCAGAAAAAAATGTAAAAAACAGCAATTAAAAAATATTTAAACTAGAATCAAAAACTATGCCAACAAAGATAGTGCTAGGTTTGGATAAATATTCGTTTTGTGTCTATCAGTTCAAAAGAGTGGTGTCGCTGTTGAAAACGATTCAAACTTTCCCTTCCCCTAGTAGCGCAGACACTTGAGGCCTTCCTGTTCTCATTTTTTACGCACCAACCGAGCCCAGCAATACATCAGCCTTGCTTCCGTATAATTTACAGGACCACAGACGCACTTTACGCCATAAGCACAGAGATAAGTTATGGGCGAAAATGGAAAATATGGAAGTTTCCTGTTGCCATTGGAACTATCAAAATTCTTTGACACGGTAAATCATGCAGTGTTCATAACCAACACTACCATTTAGGGAGGTCAATCACTAGAGTGATCCACAGAAGTCGCTAGAGTTATTACGGCACAGATTCAAGCTGAGGATTGTTAAATAAGGGGTTCCGCAGAATATGATGTTCTTGGAAGTTCTCTTCACCACTAGAAGGTATTTATTTGATTTAATGTAACGCCGAAATTTACATTTGGGCAGGATATCACCAAACCCTGATCAAAGATAAATTGTGGAGTGATCTCCGCAAAATCCATGGCGAACCTCTTCACCAGCTGAACGAAGGAGTTACGGCACAAATTGAACGTGGAAGTCGATGACATCCAAATTGCATAAAGATGTTCAGAGTCACATTCACACTCCACATACGACGGCTCAAAGTATAGAGTCTCAAGAAACTCCTAACCAGGTCGCTAACCGACAACACCTGGGGAAAAGGCAACGAAAATTTTCTTAATACTTACAACTCCACATTTCCTTGAAGTTGAAAATGAAGAAGCTATAAACCTGTCAGAACACCACCCTGAGGATCATAAGAGAAAACCTCCTGATATGACCAGTACAACATTTGTGATACCATTGTGTAAACAATATCTGGATGATTCCTATCCTTGTAGGCATCTGCTGGAAGCTGAACAGCCTAACAAATATTTCAGGAAGTACTTGACTTGAACTCGACTGAACTACTTTAAGCATCATATCACAGAACCGTTGATCCGGTCGAGCTATCCACAGGCCCTCAACGCTACTCTCAGAGAGGCTGTAAACATTTTTATTAACTATGTCCGCATGAATGGTATAACGAAAACAATATCACCACCTATAGTAGACCAGGAACTCGAGTAATACTGACACTGCTACAACAACACATATTATACTTCTAACCATCCACACTCGAAATGCTTAACGTATGAACTGGATGTAATGAGTTCGAGCACGGCACCAACTACCTCTATGTATGTCACTAAAACACAATTCTCTAACATCGAACTCTCTCCCCTTCGAAACAGCTCTTTCCCTGGGCCTCCCGTTAGATGACTTTGACGAAATCGACTAACCTTGTCCTAGATTAAGCAATCACCTACAACAACATTGACACTAGAATCGGATTCTGCTATAATAAAAAATATTATTTTGGAAATCCATTTACGAACTCAAAATAGTACTTAAATCTTAGTTATTGTAAAATTAATGGTTTTATTTCTTAAAATATTGTTGAAAATATTTTTTTCCTCCTCACGCTTTCCGCAAATGATTTATTACTACCGCACAAGGCTCGTTTTCCAGCAAATTTTTGACTCCACAACCAATGATTTGGAACTTTATATCGTCCAAAAGCACATTTCCACCAACAAATAGCTAAAACATTTGATAATATTAGATGGAATATATATATATATATATATTTTTTTTTTTTTGAACAAAAATATTTCCAAATATTACTCACTTCTGGATTACTACTCAAAGCCCACAATTCATCCTCATCCAAGTTGTTTCGATTCACCTTTAAGCCGGTGACAAACCGTAATTTATCCGGATTGTAGGCGACTACCTGTTTGTGACGAATCTTTAGTTTTAGACTTTATTGACTATCTTACGAAAATAACCTTCAAATGATCCGAATCATATTCGCTGTCCTCCCTCCAAGCAATCAGTGCGCTCGAACTAATCAAGCTACAATATAAATTTCCATCACTATCCATGGCCTCAGACTCGCATTGTATGCCCCGACTGCCGACTACACGAAACTCGTTAAGCAACTCCTTTTGGGTTTCCACATCCTTGGGAAGTGTCCAGAGTGTAGCATTGTTGACCAGAAATAATGGTACACTGACCTCCAGAAAGCTGTTCAAAGCATGGAAATATAAACGACGGTTGGCTGGAAAATTAAATTGAAATTTGATTTGTCAAAGAAGCCAAGATCTTGATTATATTTGGGTGAAAGTAAGAAGTCTCTAATTTAAACTGGGTGAGTACAATATGATCGAAGAGACATTTCATGGATTTTAGAAGATCCTTTACACGTTATTTACATCTTTATAAACACAGTTTGTCTGAATTACCTGCCTCCGCGTCATGCCTCCTTGGACTTATGCTCACGGTGAAAATTCCACTGTTGCCGGTTTTTTCCGGTGTCAACAGCTCATCCGGCTGCATGTGTGCATTTTGTATGCGCCACGATTGCCCCTGCTGCATATTATAAACAATCAAACCATAACCCCAAGGATCAGCAATATAGATCATAGCGTTGGAACACTCAGCGCCCGGCACGGAGGGGTCCACATCTACTGCCAGTGCTGTAAAAATCGATACACCCGGCGTATATTGCGATGCAGGAATAATATAACGGTGTATCAGCTGATCTGTGACCAAATCAAAGGCGAGTATTTGTGGAGCGCAGTATTGAATGGCATTAATTTGACCCAAATCCACAACCCACAAACGCCAGCAGTCATCAATCTGTAAGCGAGAGAAAGGCAGAATGAGGTACAGAGATAGATAGAGAGAAACAGAGAGAGGGAGAGAGACAGAAATAGAGAAAGAGAGAGAGAAACAGAAAGAGAGAAAGACAGAGAGGAAAAAGAGTCTTAGTGAACGAGAGTCAGAGCAAAAGCGTGACTTTTTTTTGGTCAAAATCAACTTACGAAAGTTCTTATGGCTGATGTTAAACTACTGCAGTTCTGTCCGAAACTTGAGTGCCAATCATAGCTGGGATAAGGCACCAGATTTGGATTCAGAATAGTCGAATTATCGCTGTCAGCCACAACTGCGAGCGAGTAGGGCACACCATGACTCAAACGTGGTATGGTCAAGAAAGTGCGATGGTAACCATCATCTGTGGAAGGAAGACAAAGTGTGGAATGGCAGAGCCGAAAATTTGAACGTGAACACTAACTCACCTCCGTACTCCACATCGACATCCACTGGCAGCAGTTTATCCTGCGCGTAGCGTAATGCGTCCAACGGCGCTGGCTGTTGATAGCCATCCGGCAGAGTTAATTTCAATTCGGTCCATTTATGCAGTGTAACAAATTCTTTTCTACGCAGCGGAGGCTCAACGTTACCATCTGCATTCGCTGCACCAACCCAATGGAGCAGGAGTTGTGCACAACTTAAGAAGAGCAACAACATTTTAAAATATTCCAACACTACAGAGTCGCTTAAGGGCACCAAAAACAAAAACAATTGGAAAATAAACAATAATATTGTATTTATAAAGGAAAACCGTTAGGAAAATAGTTAAGTTCTCTAACTTATGACGTCTGCCTCGATACGTTTCTAAATTCTGACTGATTGAGCGCCTTCAACGGCTTGACAACGTACGCATGTAGCTGCTGCTGGTGCAGCATCCTCTTCAAATGCCGCTTTCTACATAACACGCACATTCATACATACTCGTGCATATGTACATAACAGACCAGCAGAGTGAAAATACACATAACTCACATATTACGTATGCTCACATACACACACACTGAGTCTGTCTGCCGGGTTTGTAGGCGCTAACCAAGTCTAATTAGCCAACAAAATTCTTGTATGCACCCAAACGTCAAAGTGAACCAACTAACCACTTCATGTTGACTGCATTGAGTGGCCAAAAAAAAAGATCACTTTATTCCGCTGCAGACAACCAACAACAACAAAAACGATTCATTCTTTATTGATATTTGAGTTATTGCGCGCTACACCGAAGTGTTTGAGCCACTGCGTACAGACACCATAGCGGTGACTCGTCTTTGCCTTAGTGGACTGTGGGTCTGTGTGTCGAACTCCGTTTAAAACTCAAGAAAAAGTATAGTACTTTCCTTTGGCATTTCATACTCTATCCATAACAAGTGACCTTTGAGCTCAATTCCTGTTTGTTTAGTCCTTAGCTTCTGTTATTAGGAAACTGTCCATCCTTTCGTTTTACTTATGTTTCTAAGATCGTTCTTTCGTTTCCTTTCTTATGTAGATCTTTACTATGGTTCGTGCGAATTTTGATTTTTAATATGAAATTCAAAACTTCTTTTAATCCTCTAATGAACATATCGCTGAATGGAGTGTAGCTTACCGATGGTTTGTTGGACGAGCAGGCAATATTCATTTAGTTTGGGCTCTGATGGACGGATCTAGCTTGAACTCCTTCGAGGCTTTCGTGTTAGATTGCTATGAACATACGTTGAGTCAAAGGAAACAAATCCAAAGTCACATGAAAACAAAGAAACGTTGCTCGTAACTTGTAAGGCTTACAGGACTCGGTGACAAATAACGACGCACCGAAATTGATATCGGGTACTAGTGAGATGCAGATAAAAAAACTAAAAGCATGTCTGATATCACCCTAAGAAGCATAAGAGTATCTGGTGGGATGCTACCGTGGGATAATCCTTACCTTAGGATCAAGACTTAACGGTCTTCATTTAGCGACTTATCACAGAATGGTTAGACAAAACGAGCCATCGACAGGTCCAAAACGTTATTCGCCGAAAGTATGTCAACACTTGGTCCGCTTTTTTGCACGCCCACTAAAAACCCTTACTCTAGGGCTACTCTAGCAAGTACATTCAGTGTTCTCAGGAAGTACACTTCCCTACAGCCCAGAGAGCTCCCACTTCCTAGGCGTACATTCCTGCTTTCTTGAAGCAGAACCTTCAACCAAGCAATGCTACATTGAACCGACAGCAGTAACGTGCCATAGACTGGATGTTAACATCATTCCCAGAGCGTCAATTAAAACTATCATCAACTCAACATGATTGACACCATTGGAATCCAAGCCCCAAGTATCACTACCTTGTGAGAAACGCGTAATCGAGAAAATATGTTTCCTGAGCCTCCCGATAAATGACTTGAGTCATTTGCCCCTAAACAGAGTCTATCAAACCTCTATAATAACAACAATAACGGACTTCTTAGCAGGGCATTGGCTATTGGAAATGTATGGAAGGGGTAGAGACCGTACAGCTCGTAATCTGTAAGTGCCTGGCAATCGGTAGACAAAAGATAAATTGTCGGATCTTTAGTTTGGAGTGGTTAAAGTACCGAGAAGCCTGCTTGAATTTGTTAAGAGAACAAAAATGTTGTTGAAACCCCAGAGATCTAAAGGAAGTGCAGCAATATATAATCTTGTTCGGTTGCAGTGCTTCTGGTAACACAAGCGATCCAATATCGTCGATGTGAGACTCCCCAAGAAGTAGATCAGTTCAACCTAACCCAACCTTTCCATTTGACTTGTACAATATATAACCATTCACATTCTCATAAACGGAACTTGGTTGCTGCTTTATTTTCCGACTCACTGGGCCGATATTAGAAAGAAATCCAAGACTTTAGTTTCCGATTAGAAATTAAATATTAGTTTAATGAAAGACATGTCTTAAGATTCTAACAACATAGAGCGTCCATATGGAAAGATGGCCGACCATATTAAGGATGGAAGAGACAAAAATAAATGTAGCCAAAGAAAGGAGGATCTGAAAACTTTCTACTCGCTTGAGATTACAAGAAGCTAGACATCTCCTTTTCCCTATATTCTCTGGATAATTTTCTTTAATTTCGCCCAGAGTAGGGCAACTACACATTCGTGGTAAATCGTCTAGAGTTTTGAATGATGTTTGTATTTGATTTCTTTTACAGTTTTTTGCATTTTGTTTTGTTTTTTAATTTTTATCGTCTTCTTACTGCCAACCGACATCAATGCCAATACATCCTGCCACATACATATATGTATGCCAGTGTACGCACAACTATATGGTGAGACGGCTTAGTCCAAATACTTTTGACTTTATTTGCCGCAACAGACAATTGTTTGTACGCGTGTGCGAGTGAGCGGTTGATTGCCACGGCTCAAAGAACAAACAATCAACCATTGGCCATAAAGCGGCAACAGGTAGGCGCATAACAAAACAACGGAACGGCTGCGCCGCTTGTGGCTGCTACAGTAAAGCGCGCCTACAAGTGTGCATTTTAAGCAAGATAATATGTACGTAAATATCGAATTCACACCAAGAGAGGGTTCCAATGACGCCAAGTCATACAATGTATACTCCTGTGTACTCGTTTCTAAGAGTTTACCAAAAGTGATGTACTTCTTTTGTTTGTTGTCCATAACATTACATAAATATGAGTATGCATTGACGCTTATACATATACACATACAAAGTGTGTTTTCACATTCTTACCTGGAAAAACAAACTGAAAGTGTAAATAATAAACAATGAGAACGGAACAAACAAAATACAAGTCAATTCATTCAACAACTTGAGCTCACATTCATCGCTGCTTCTACTCAAATACTTAAAGATAATTTATATGAATGAAAGAGGTTGACTCAATAGATGACCCCACGCCAAAGGGCAGCGCAATGACATTGAGACGCTGAGAAGAGTTTTTTTTGTAAATATGCAATTTTTCTTTTATCTAGGAAATATCCCAGCATAAAAAATATAATAACTCTTACCACTTAATGTTCTGTGATGTTTTGTGTGAATGATGTGACGTGATGTGATAGGTATACATAAAAAAAAGGAATATTCTATACACATAAAAGCACATATAAATTGTTAGTGAGCACTTTCATTAACTGATACAATTATTATTTTAGAGTACTTGGCATCACATCAATACCAATGTATTGACACCATGGTCGTATTTCTTTTTTCATTCGATTAAAAAATCACGTCACGTTATACATATGACTTGCTACTTTACTACTTTTTCCAATTAAGTTATTTCAGCAATAGAAATATGTATTAGTAAAATTACCGAGTTAAAAAAAAACCCTTGCAAACCGTATGATCATATCATTTGACATTGTATCACTATCATTTCGTAAATATCATATCAATATTACATCATATCATTTTATGTAACTATGTCATTAGAAAATTTTTAGAAAACTCCTCGGTCTTTAGAGGATGATATTATTATAAGATCACATCATTAATGCCAAACACATCATGACATCATCACTTTTTGTGTTGATTTTTCTACAATATAATCACATCACGTGACATAGATGTAAATGACTTGACATTGCTACATTTTCCAATTATCTTATTTTAGCATTAGAAAAGATAGTGGAAATTCAGAGTTTCAAAAAATCCTTCATAGAATCACGTCATAGCCAATCTTATCATATGACATTGTATCACTATCATTTCATAATTATCACATCAGCCGTACATCACATCATAGCCAATCATAATATAGAACATTGTACCACTATCAATTCATAAATATCACATCGACCTTACATCATGTCATAGCCAATCAAACCATTTGACATTGTATCACTATAACTTCATAAATATAACATCGACCTTAAATCACATCATAGCCAATCATATCATATGACATTGTATCACTATGACTTCATAAATATCACATCGACCTTACATCACATCATTTTGCGATAGAAAAAAAAAGTTATTTTCCTTTTTGTTTGCTAAAAATTCGTCTAAGTTCTTTAAATTTTGTGTCACAGTATAATATGACTGCATCATTTAAATCAAACAAAGTATATAATCATCATATCATTTTATGTACAATTGCATCAGAAAATTCCTCTAAATACTCTATACTGCATATTATATTACGAAAAGATTGCATTATTAGTATCAAACGCAACATATCATCATTGCATTGTTTTAGATTTCTCGACTATAAAATCATATCATGTGATGCACATGTAAATGACTCAACATTGCTAACCTTTCCACTTAACTTATTTAGCATTGGATATAATATTGAAATTTTAGAGCTTAAAAAAATTTCCTTGCAAAACGTCAATCATATCATATGATATTATATCACCATTACACCATGTATATCACGTCAACATGATATCATATCATTGTATGTATTGTATTAGAAAAACATTTTTTTTTTGGGAAAGCTCTATTGCTGTATGGGTATTATACTATCAATATCAGCTTACAATGTGAATAAAATTATATCACGCATGTGCTATTTTACACGTATGGAAGGAGTATATTTTTCAAATAAATTAATTAAAATATATTCCTATTTAGCAACTCTGCTTTTTCGAAGAAATCTGTTATTGACTAGGTTTGAAGAGATCTCGTTGAACAGGAATTATACTGAGTACTTGTGGCCTACTCTCTGATAGATTGAAGTTGGAGTGTTTTACTCGAGCTTTGAAAAGAAGAAAAAGTGGAAAAGCCTCATCTTCCCACTTACTTTTACAAATTAATTTTTTTTATAAATAGAAATCTGTTTCTGTTTTCTTTTTTATTAAATTATTTTGTATGTACTAAAGAAATTTATTACAATTAAGGTACTAAAACGTTACAAATAAATTTTATGATCGACTAGCAAGGTCTGCCCAGCAACAGTTCATCGACGCCACATTTCAGAATGCGATAATTAATCTCATTGTAATTCATGGTGCCGCTGAAGGCCTTCTGCAAACGATTTGAAACCAACCAAACTTCCTCTTTGCCCTGCGGATTCGTAATCACCTTCAAGCCGCTGATAAATTGTAGTGTTGTGGGATTTTCAGCAAGCAACATACGATTCTGGTATGTGTATGGTGTGAAAATATTCCAACCGAAGATACCAATGGGTTCGAGATGACCACATAGAAATACACCACTGGACGTCATGGCGGGTGCAGCGCACTGAACGCCACGTTTGCCCAGCAACACAAAATGTTCCATGGCAGATTTGATACCATTACCCCAGTATGCGGGATCATTGACAATATCCAGTGGAATGGCGACTTGCGCATCGTTCGAGAGTGAATGGAAGTAGAGCATGCGGCGTAAACCCAAACCTCTTGGCGTGACAGCAAAACCGAAAGAACCATCCAAGAGCTCAAAACTTTCACCAGCTATGGTGTGTGTGCCAAAATCTGGATCGGGATATGTATATTTATTTTCAACACGCCAAGAACGCTCATTCTTTACATCGTACACGACGAAACCGGTGCCGGTGGGATCAGCCATATAAACGAAAGCTTCCTTGCAGGAACCATACGGACCGGGATCCGCAATGTCTACGTAGGGCGTGACAAAACGGCTTATTGTCGGCTTATACATGCCTTTGGGCAGGCGATAACGATGCTTCACCTCGGCGGTTGCGATATCGAGCACAACTAGTTGCGGTGCACAATGTTGTTTGAATTCTATTTCGCCACTATCCAATATCCACATTTTACCGCATGTATCGATCTGTTGGGTCGCGAATAATTATTTAAAGTCAATATTTTGTGAATTCTTAAGAAATTTCAAATATATACCTGTATGCGATAAACTGAGGTCAGGCCATCACAGTCATCCCCGTGTGATTTGTGCCAATCATAGTCGGGAAATGGTTGCAGCTCGGTGCCGTTCGGTCGCACCTCATTCGTCAGGTAGGCCAATGAATAGGGCACACCTTGGCCGAATCGTGGTATGGTAACAAAAATCCTCGGCTCTTCGCCACTCGCTAGAAGAGTTAAAGTGGTAATTTAGTAAATAAATATTTGTTTGATTTGTTGAAAGGTGAGGTTGAGAACCTGGTCGCAAGTGGTCGTATCTAAGCCATAGAGTAGCTAATAGTGTTCCCCCGTATAACTTAACTAAACAGTTTCGCTCGATTAAAAAACTTATTCAATATCTTCCAACCAGGTGCCCGTCTCCGCAAGGTTGGTTCTGGGGCACCGTGGAAAGGTGTGACCTTTCAATCAGCCAAAACTGGACACTCGCAATAGTAATGTTCCAGCGTTCGCTCTTCTTCTATGCATGCTCTGCACTGAACTGATGACACTTTACCTTCTTCATCTCATGGGTAGGTACCCCGTTAATACATCCACAAGCATACTAAGTTTTCTATAGCTTAAAGTTAGTAATACTTTCTCTGCCTACGTCCTACGACGGAAGTGTTCCAGGAACTTAAGAGTTTAGAGGTTTCTCCATGATCCACTGCTTTCAATATTCCAAGCCGTTAAAACGTCTGAAGTAGTCGATGGTGACTAAATCGCCCGCGGTGCCAGCTCATCTGCCTTCTCATTGCATCCTACATCCATGTGTCCCTGGATCTACTAATATTCAGTGTGTTTTTTTGTGATAGTCTATTTGGACTTTGCTTTGACACACATATTTTTTTTTTTTTTGCCCACGATCCTTAGAAGTTGGAAGTCAGAGTTGTAGTCATTGAGTAATAGGGGGGAAAAAAGAGCCGTATTTATTCAAATCAGCGAAGATATTGATATCTCGAATGTTACCAAGGGGCCGACCTCAGCCCATTTTTGACTGATATGGAAGAAGCAGGTGGCATTTACTAGACAGAAGCTTTCTGTTTCTTGGTCGCATTTTACGTTTAGCTTGAATTCCGATTTAATTTTCAGAATGCTGTCATTTCCTTCACCACTGGGGACTGTACCAGATTTTCTAGAACCCTTAGACGGCTATCTTTTAACACAGCTTCACTCATAGGTTGTATTACTTATTAATTGGCCTAATGCCAAGGACGACTTCTAAATTTTTGCTAAAAATAAATAATGAATATTAAATACTCACGCGGATAATAAACATCCACATCGATGGGCAGTGGACTATCGGGGTCGTAGAGACCCTTGCGTAAAGCTGTTTTCCTGTCATCGTCACTTGGAAAGCCGAATTCTAAATTCTTTCCTTCGTATACATTCGTGAGCATCTTATATTTCGAGGACCACGCATTGTATCCGTTGTTGTGCCACTGACTGCTGCGACTGTAAGTTTTGCCGTCATGTATGATGACCAAAAAGAAGACTGAATAGAACCAAATTGTATGCCTGCAAATCATTATTATTTGTCTTTAAATAAATTTAAATATTTTGAAAAAAAGTAAAATTACAATAAATGCGCAAAGAGTTCCCTGTATTGAGCCTTAATCATAATGTTTTCAAACATGTGCTGCTCATACGCGCTGAACTTATCTTCTTCTTATACTTCAACTGAACGCATCTAAGCCATGTGTGGACTTTCAGGTGAAAGTAAGAATAATAATAATAACTTATTTAAGAAAAAAAACCTGTTCGTTACTTATTTGTAATTAACTTGCCGTAAGCCTTTACATTTACATACATGCGTACATATATTTTATCAACATTCTCATTTGTAATTAAGATTAAAAACAATATGAACATTAATATTCGAAAGTAGAATTCAAAAGTCACTGCGCATATTACAGTCATTTTCTATTTGAATTTAGCTAATATGAATGCATTCACATATGTTTCGGTAATTTGTTTATACAGCATGTTGTAAACAAAATAATTAACGAAAAGGGAAAAATTGTATTGAGTAATTAAGGTCGCTTGATGCGCAAGACCGCATCGCAGGAAGAGAATAATTTGTGTATTTGGTGTAAGAAGAGAACACTTCTCCAGGGATGGTGAATTCGAAATCGCAATTGATGATGATAGAAAAATGTTCCATTTACCGACAATGACCCGAATTTCCGACAAAGTTGCATAAAAGTGTGCATACATTAGGTTCTTTGTCTGCGATTGGAATTTTAGTGAGCCCTGACCAATCCAAAAAATTGGGGGTTAATATAAAAATTTAATTTTTTTAAGATTTAAGTGGGCCTGATTTGTTTGTATGAATTGAACATTTTTGTTATACAACAAAGAAAAATGGTAGAAGTGACAGCTGTTTCGGAGATCAACACTCATTAGACTTCTTATGGCAGAGATCGAACCAACGGATCCTGACTTAAGGGGTTACATTGGTTTTGAAACTTCAAATAGTTCATTTTTAGATAATTTTTGTATAAAAGTACAAAGTGTCAGGTATGTTTTCCCCAAGTTTGAAGTCGATCGAAACGAAACTGTAGAAATTAGAGAGTTTTATAACCCTGCCTCTTTGTCATGGCTTGATCGATGACAAAACTTTAAACGCGTTTTTCTTAAAACCACTTTAACGAAATCGGTAGTCAAAATTTCTCAACAAATATTGAAGCGATCGATTTCAAATTTTTCACACTTCTTTTAAGCATCTTTTTGTAGTCCATGAACGAAGGATTTATTTTATTTTTGATTTCAACTCATTTTACAAGCCAATATTGGCCTAATTTTATGCAAAAAATTACGTTTTAAGTAAAAAAAACACTAAAAAAAATTCAATTTTTAACTTTTTTAATTTTTCTTCGTTCAGGGACAAGGAAAATTCACGTACTTTAAGAAAAAATTTGGATTTTCGATTTCAGATAAAAATTGAAAAGGTTATCATGACTCCCGCGAATGCACTTTCTTGTGGACGGTCTACTTCAAGACACTGCCAATGCCTTAACTTATACAACTTTTCATTCAAATTTTCATCAAATGTTGCCTACATATTGTACTTTTATATGTAAACAAAATTAATTTTATAATTTATTTACAGGCCTATTCTGTCGGGGTAATAAAATTTACCATTCAGTAAATTTTGCTACTATTTTGTATTCTGATTTCACTGTCACCCTGTAAATTTTGTTACCAGCGAAATAGAAGGTAACAAGAAATCTACTGTTTGGCTTTGTGTAGGCATGTTTTAGGCCCCGAAAAAAGTGCAAAAAGGCGTGTGTTGAGTAATTTGCAAGAAAAAAATTACCCTTCTAATTTGGAAGATAGCGTTTTCATTCAGTTTTTTTTTTTTTTGAAAATAAGGTTTTTTGGGCCTCCAAAATGTATGTAACCCCTTAACAAGCGAGTTCTCTACCAACGCGACAACATCAGCCATGTAATCTATTGTTCGTTCGTTATTAACCAACAACTATTAAGTGCGCTAATTTAGCCGATATTCTTTTAATGGCGTGGTTAGTCAGTTGCTTTGAAATCCTGTATACTTTCAGGCGTTAATTTACTGAAAAATGCATAAGTTTCAGGTTCAACTCATAAATTTATAATTATTTTTGCGGCTATACTATCATGGATTTTTTTTATTTCTCGTTGAATTCACAACACAAAATGCGCAGTCAAAATTGGAAAGGACCTCTGTGAGCCTTTCGGTTACAAACAAGGTTTCAAACGGGGTTACTCCTTATCGTGGGATTACTTCAAGTTGATTGTGGAGAAAATAATAAGAGCTGCTGAGTTAAATACACAAGGTAGAATATTTTACAAGCATATACAACTGTTGGCGTATGCCAATGACATTAATTTGCCTTAACAATCGCGCCGTTAGTTCTGCCTTCTCCAGACTTGATAACGAAGCGAAGCTTATCTGTCTGGTAGGACAAGACGATATATCTTCTGTCATCAAAAGAACATCGTCAATCGATTCGTTCCCTTCTTGTTATATATTTTCGGAAGCGTGGACGATGTCGACAGCCGTCGATGAGTTGGGATTGGGAGTCTTGGAGCGAAAAGGTTTGCAAACGATTCAAACGATGACATAGATATAAATAGTTCAGCGAATGAAGGGACAGCGCTATGTGGGCTGGGTCGTGCCTTCCAAATGACTGAAAGCAATCTAGCTTTGAAACTATTCGATGTGGCACCCGCTGGTGGAAGCAGATAAAGATGAAAACCTTTACTACGTTGGAAGGATCAGTCGGTGAGCGATCTGCCTTCACTTGATATTTCCAACTGGCGTCAAACAGCGAAGAGAGGGAACGAACGGCGCGCTATTGTTGAGTGGAAGGAAAAGGTGATGAAGAAGAAGAATAGCAAGAGAAATCAGAATAGGAAGAGGAAGAAGAAGAAGAAGAATGAAAAAACATTATGAAGGAGAAATACTATGAAGAAGAAGAAGAAGAAAAGGAATTTCGCATTAAAAATATTTACTTTAATGTTTTTTTTTATCGCCTACATATCATAAGCAAAGCGTAGGACATACATATATTATACATTTCAGAGAACTCTCGACCTTTTATAAACCATCGTAGAGCCGTTTATTGTAAACGATTTTTATCTCATACAAATTAGTTTGGAAATATTTTCCTTGTTTCGGAGAGATTTTTTTTCCATATTGGTTTGTAGCCTACTCCCACTGAATCCTTATGAACTGCTTGACTTTACCTTTCAATAAATTTTAGCTTTTATAAATAAATAAATATGCAGTCTCAGTCTCTTATCGTATTTGTTGAATTATTTAAATATGAATCAATGATATTTTCAATAAATATATATATATAAATATTTATATACTCGGCTACCGCGGCCACCGTACATAAATTATTGGCGCTACTAATTTACATATGACATAATGACATACCACAGGGGTATTTCCCATAAAAATTCATAAAAGAAAAACCGCCATGAAACGCAAGTCGTCATAGTTGGTTGATATCACATCGCAGAGGTCACTAGCCTCTTAGCATGCTAAAGTAGTAGTTGTGTTATATTCTGTCTCTGCTACATAAAGACTTTGAATGAGATAAGTCAAAATATTTCAAATTTTCCTATAATTCCAAATTTTTTTTTGTAATTGTTAATTTCCATAATTATAAAAACGGCAAAAATGACAGTTTTAATTGGCGATAGTTGTAATAACTCAATATAACATGGCATTAGCGTGCATACGAGGTCTGTTCAAAAGGATAGGTGATTTGTGCATTTTTGTGTTTATTAAAAGCTAACTCATTAATAAATTTATATGAAGAAAAAAAAAGTTTTATATGCGTTTTTAATATTTTTTTATTTCTACTGTATTAAGGGTCTGAAGGTCCAACGTTTTTTTTTTAGCACACACACACACACACATGTATTTATTTAGCCAAAATTCAATTCTCAATATTTGCTTAAATTTTACAAATTAAGTGAACCGGTTAAAATAGAAACCAAACCCAAAAAAAAAAACACAGCACCGTTATATACATACATATATTTCAACATTTTTTCACAGGCACTAATTTACATAGATTAATTGCGTTGAAATAGAAAACAGCCTATAAAAACAATAAAAATATGTATGTAGCATATATTTACTATCACTAACACTAACACACTCACATTTGTCGAATAAATTTTTTTTTTATTTTAGTGATTAAAGATTTTGTTATTTTTTTTCTTAAACCTTAACCAAAAAAATATTAAATTAAATTAAATTCAAAATGCACTCGCGCCACTCTCTGCTGCTTTAAAACCACAAAACCACACTGATTATGGTATTTTAATTTTTTCGGCTTTTAGCCCCTTTACCTTGAAGAATTTTTGTGAAATTTTTGTGTGGAAGTGTGGAGTGTTCTGAATTAATTTATTATTGTTATTGTTGTTTTATAAAATGCGACTGTATGATAATGTTGAACGCTGAGATTGTTGTTGTAGTTTTTTTTTTTTAGTAAATATATATACGTATTTTGTTTAGGTATGTGTAATCTGTAAGGTGAATCTGCTGGTTTTTTCTTAAACTTCTCAACAGGTTTGATTATTAAGCGCTTTTGTTTATCCCAGAAATTAACAGGTTGTCAACAACAAAAATTTTCACCGTTAATTTGGGCTCTAATTTAAAGCGAAAGAAAAGGATTGTTCATTTTAAGCAAAATAAATAGACTTACATTAATAACATTGAAGAATTATTAATTATTAATATTATTTTAAATTTTACGCTTATTTATTATGTTCAAATATAGGGTTATACATTTCATGACATCAAAAGTACGGCGCTGTATTTCGATATTTGTCAAAGTTAATGAAGTGTCATCTATGCAAATGAATCACTTAGCAACCACAATACTCATTAAAATCGGTTAAACTTACTACTTAAAAGTTGATTCAAACAAGGCCGCGTTTCGTGCTTTAAGTGGAGATTATAGTACACTTCATACAGTCCAAGTAATCAAGCAACAACAAGTTAAAAATTTTATGAAATTTGAAAAACTTGGATAGGTTACAATATCTATAAGGATCGTACTTCATCGTTTTGTTCGTTCCGCCTCAAATATGGCAAGCGAGAGTCTAGTCGAAGACCCGCATGTGTCTCTTTCTCGACCTTCCCAAGAGCAGAGTTAATAGGCGAAATTGTCGCAAATGGAGCTCTGAGAATATGA